AAAACAGAAGGCCGAAGCCAACAGTCATAACTTTCCTCCAAAGCATGACCACTTTCATAAATACCTTTCAGCTTACTGTGCCAGAAAATAGACTGTAAACAGGTACTGCAAGAACAGCAGCAACACACTSGTGAGCCTGAACCCCTCAGGTGTGTGCAGAAGACACCAAGGCCGGGTTACAAACACTCTCCATTTTATTTCCACACCTCCCACCTGTGCCCACCCTCCAGTGTCCGTGTGAATCCCATGTAAATCCCCTGTGAATCCCGTGTGATCCCACATGAATCCTGCAGGAAGGGCTCSGTGCCCTCACAAGGCATCGTAGTCGTCGTCGTCCTCGTGTTTCCTCTTGAGGGGGTTGGGGTCGGCGGTGGCGCCGGGCGGGACCATGTTGGTGGTGATCAGGATGTTCTTGGGGCCAATCAGGGATGGGTTGATCAGGACGTTCTGCACCGTGGGAGTGGTGGGAGTGGCTGTGGGAATCATGGAAAGGTTTCACGGAGAGGTTGGAACAATCACTGCGGTTTCCCTGTGTTATTCCGGGCTAACAAAGCATTGTGCTGCTGGAATGTTCCAGGGGCTTCGTACCAAGAGGGAAGGTGGGGTGAGGACACAAGGGGGAGAAGGAAACAGGAGCCAAGGTGAGGGRGCTTCCCAGGCTGGCGATGTTCTGGAATGGGAATTAACACTGAAGTTCCCAGAATGAGGGAGGGGGAAAGGAATTCCCACAGCAGCTTGGCCAGAGAAGCCATGGCTGCTCCRTCCCTGTAAGTGCTCCAGGCCAGCTCGGAGCACCCTGCTCTTGCAGCTGTCCCTACCCACGAGCTYCTCCCTCCCAGCCCGTGTGATCACCCCAATATCCATCCAGGCACCCCATAATACCTGATTTGCCAGCAGGCTGTGAGGACGGGATCTGCACGGTGAAGCGCTGCCCCGCCAGCGACACCGGCGCTCCCACCTTGGCCGACACCGACACGGTCTGGGCTGAGGGGGTACCTGCATTCAAYAAAACCCCACCAAAATAAATCCAAATCAATCCATCAATACTCCTGAAATTCCTTCCCTGCTCTTTACATGCAATGGGAATGCACAGGGATTAACACTGGATAGAAGCAGTCAGATTTTCAGGCAGAACTGCACATTTACTCATCTTTCCACATTTACCCCAACCCTATGGAATTCCAACTATAAACACACACTAATTTTTAGGACAAAGCACTAAATTTTAAGAACATTTTAAGAATCGATCTTTTCCAGTTGCTATTTAATTCAGCACCATGCAGGCATTGAGGAAAAAACCCATAAATTTAGGTAAATTTCTTGAATAGTCCCTTAAATAAAGAATTTATTATAAAAACAGAAAATCTGTAATGCATTTATGTATTTAAGTATTATTGTAATAATAAAGATTAAATTTATTAAATTAACTTTCTGATGCTATCGAACAATACAAGCTTGGATGGCCCCTGACATTCCCTCAAGAGTTGAAAAGCACTTTAAATTATTCCTCTTTATTCTGCCTTCCTAAAATAAAGGTGAGATYCCCAGAGGAGCTGTTTCCTACCCAAAGTGGGAGTGCTGGGCCTGCTGCTCACGGCGCCCACGCTCAGGCGAGGGACTGTGATCCTGCCTGCTGTGGAGGAGACCTGTAGGGAGAGAACCAGACAATCAGGAAATGGCTTGGRATAAACAGCAAAGTGAGGAAATGCYCTCAGTGAGGCATTYGGTGTTTCCCAGCAAAGGAAAYGTTYTCTCTCTAAAGCACAAACTAAAAAATACCCTTTAGTATCTACATCAAAGCCTGASTTGTGCCTCTGACTACCTGATGTTAAACCTGATAGTTCCTCCTGGGTATCAGGAGCAATTTCTTCATGGAAAGGGYRGKCAGGCATTGCAAGGGGCTGCCCAGGGAGGTGGGGGAGGCTCCATCCCTGGAGGTGCCCAGGGAAGGACTGGGGTGGCACTCAGTTGCTCTGGAGGGGA